AGACGTATACCACAAACTCGTATATTTCCGAACAGTTAAAGCGTCTTGTTCAGTCGGGATAGGTCGCGGGTTCGATTCGCGGTGAGGTTAAGTCGAAGTTTTCCGTATTCTCTATCATCGATGCTCTCACGTGTTATGAAGTTGAGTACACCAGTTGTGGTAGTACCTTCCCAAGTACTCTCCCGAGCTAAGTAGGGTGTTGATGATCCGATGGGGGGCCGAGTAGTTTACACGAAGGGTTTAGGGTGATGATCATGTGGAGGTCTTTCGCGACGCAAGGAGAGTATCATGATCATCATGGTGATCCTATTAGAGGGTATAAATCGAGTATGGACAAGTTGTCATCAGGAGATTTGGAGGGACGAAGGAAGGTTCTGCTCTACAGGTGACGCTTGAGGGGTCGACGACGACCCTCGGTGGCCACAACATCGTTTAATATATACATTAGGATTCTTATTCTCGAGTACTCGACATAACTCCTTCAGCCATTCGAAGAGAGTTGCTTGTGTTCCGTTTTGGTATACTCTCAGACTATCGTGTAGAGTAGATCCTTTCTGCCGTTATCGTTAGTGTGAGGCTCACGATAATAATAATCATTATTATCGTTATTTGTATAGTATTGGTAGTATTAGGCCACAGTTGAATATGTACGTCCTTACTCCTGGTGTAATTGTATTCCCTTTATCAGAGCCCGTCAAAGAGGTTATCTCGAGTTGGATGTGATCCTTGGTAGTTTTGCTGGTAGTAGCCTCCTAGCATAGCCTCCAATAAGTGCATCATCATCATCTTAGATCGATATCTACGTGATATGCCGGAGGTAGAGGTCGATGAGTTCGAGGAGATACTGGCCTTAGAGAATCTCGATCTGTACGAGTGGTTGTCGGCGCAGGTGGGTAATCGGAAGGTAGTCTCGGGTTCTGATTCTCGATACCAATTCTCAGTCGGCAGCCCCTAGTGAGCTTGTAGAGAGCAACTCTGTATTCCGCAAATTGTTGGAGTATACCGGCTCGTCTTCCTCTTGAGTCTACCATGAGTTTATGTTGGTTTCTGCTTATATTCTGCTCTTAAGCTGTTGGCTGACAAGTGTCTTAATATGGCGGCCTCTGGTAGGTGGTCGAGGCATAGTTCAGTCTTTCGGGGCTGCTGTTGTGTATTATCGTGCTTATCACGAGTGAGGGTCATCATCATCAATGCGATTAGGATAGCAACCAGAAAACAACAATAATCTCCCGAAATTTCTGTAGAAAATTTTATGAAACTGAGTGTAGCTGAGCATGCGCATATTCATCAACCTCATACTCATCATCATACCGACAAGCCACACGTGAGCGTACACGATCCTTAAAGCCCTTTTATGCCCCTCCCCCCCCGTAGGTGGGCATTGATGAGTGGTACCCTCCTCCCTCTCCTTGACTCTGCTATCTTGGATGATAATGGAGGTACACCCTCTTGTATTGAACCGAGCCCTGTTGTTGTTGTACATCCCTCTATATTCAGAGGAACCTCCCTCTGGCATCATCATAGAGGAGGAAGGTGATCATCTCAATAACGCAGTCCGTTCAGTAGTTCCAACTATTCACGACTCCAACACTGTTGGCGTTGGCGGCCACAACGATTATGATCATCATGATACCCGGTACGTATATGTCTCCGAGATCGTCATCTTGGCCCGCCTATATAGATTCAATGCCAACAGCAGTAGCAGCAGCCACAGCTTCTTTGGGTGGAGTGAGAAACAATGTCGTATTACGGTAGGCCCCTATCATGGCTATGGTCATGAATCGATCGATCGATGATGCCACAATGCCAGTGTTATACATCGACTAAACAAGACTGCGAGGGGAATGTTATGAATGCTGCCATGTGGAGCAATCATAATAACATCTCAAGGACCTGCTGTATCTGCCTTAACCCAACAGCAATAAAGGAGGCAACTTGCCATCAGGATGTGGGCTCATTACAATATTATATCATATGAACACTTGTTAGTGTCGATACTATCTACCCTTTATGGAGTATCAATGGCAAGAAGAAGAGTTCATTCGGACATGTCATCGTATGTGTGATGAAGTGAAGGTGGCCTTAAGAGAACGCCTCCTACAAGAGGCATAGTCTAGAGGAGCACATAAAGAATTCGAGGGGGTTGTGTTCAACTCTTCTGGTTATGCATATCGGTTAACAAAAACTCGACGGGTAGC